TTTTTATTCAATTTCCTTTTCTATTCATTTTCCTTTTTTTATTTAATTTCCAAATAGATCGTTAAGGTGGAGTGGTTTCTTGAATGAACAAAATTTAAAGACAAAATCCATAGAGAGGAGTAGGATATCCCTACCTCAAATTCGGAGCTCCAAGGGAGAAGATGACAAAACCCAACGTGCTTCAAATCCTGAAATTTTCAGATTAAAATGTGGCCCTCGACGATCAACAACTTTTTTGTAAAGGCCAAAGATGGGCAAATCACTCCTACTAGATCAAAACCTAGAGAGAAGGTAGAGTTCTAGAGTGAGAGGCTCAACAATGGTGTTTTTGGAAAAGTAGGAGAGAGAAGAGAAAGTGAAAAAGTGATTTGAAAAGTCAAAAGACGGAACTTAAACCCAGTCGCCTCGCTCGAGCGTCAAACACCCCGCTCGAGCGTCACTCACAGACTCCCGCTCGAGCGGCGGACACACACTCCCAGAACTTTTACAGAACCAGGTCTCCGCTTGAGCTTCCAACTCCCCGCTCGAGCGACACTCACACAACCCCGCTCGAGCGGCCAATACCACACTCAAGCGTCCAACCCTGCACAGGAAAATACTGGATGGGTGCAATTCCCGCTCGAGCGCTAAAACCCCCGCTCGAGCGGACAGGTCCAAATCTGGGCAACTAGCTTTGGTTTCTAAACTCAACCAACCTGTAACAAACCTGCCCAACACATCCTATAACTCAAATACGAAGTAAAAAGGATGTAAACAAGATAATAATCAACTACCAACATCCACGGACACATGTCCGAATCACTGTACAACAAGGGTAAATCCGGGATCGCTATACCCCAGCAAGATTGAATTTCACAAACATACATGTCTCTTCTCCTTCTCCTTGTCTTCTGTTTCTGAAACGAAGCCTTATTTCGTCAACTCCGAACCACCATTGAAGTTACTCACAACTCCCAATCACCATTGAAGTTACTCAAATTTGTCTTTGAAATCAAAAACCTTTTGAAATTTATGGTGAGTTCTCTGTTTTCTATGCCCCTTCTGTGTGTATATATTTATGATTATGATTATTATTAGTGAAATTTTATTGATATAGGTTTCACTACTACAAATATGCTTAAAGATCACACTTAAGGAAATTAAAACATGACTTTTAATGAAAGTGTGATTAAAAAATTAAATTAATATTTTAATCACACTTAATTTAATTGAATGTGATAGTATTTATTTTTTAAGACACTTTTTAATTAAATGTGATTATATATATATATATATATATATAAATTACACTTTCTAATTAGTGTGTGATTATATATATTTTAAAATTTATAATTAGATCTAATATTCCCACAGAAGCATCCTTATTTTGAATATGAGGGAAACCATTCGACTCTGTCACTCTCTCTCTCTCTCTCTCTCTCTCTCTCTCTCTCTCTCTCTCACAATATCAAATTACTCTTTTGTTCTAAGGTTCTAATCAACAGATTCAACACGGAGCCCTCATATTCAACACAGGGTTCTGATTTTATATAATTATGTTGTAAATCTTTCTCTCTGGCTTTGTTGTTCTTGTTCGAAGCTTGAATCTCTCTCTCATTGTGGTTGATTCTTCGTTTTTGCATTTGAATTCAAGTATCTGATGATTCAAAGGCCTAATTCATTTCTGGTAAAGATTCTAATCTTCTCTCTCTGGCTTTGTTGTGCTTGTTCGAAGCTTGAATCTCTCTTTCATTTCTTAAACATGTTCGATTTCTCTCATTTTTGCATTTGAATTCAAGTATTTCATGATTCGAAGCCCTAATTCATTTCGTAATGACTCAAGATAAGGAATTTTCCATGGCTACACAATACTCATTTTGATTTTGCATTCTATCTCAATTGTTTTTATTCATTTTCAATCATGAAACTACTCGGATCTATATTCAATTAGTTTGTATTTGGTTAGTTTGTTCGATTGACATATGGTTTCGATTTTGGGGTTTTGAAACATTTGTGTTATCGATGTTTTGGTAGTGTAGAGATTTTTAGGTTTTTCTTTTCAAACATTTGTGTCGATGATGAATAACTCTGATTCTTTCCTAATCTATCCTTGGTAAAGGTTTTGACTTAATCTTTTTTCACATCTTAACTTCTTCTTCTCTGTTATATATATATATGTATCTATAGACTAGTGTATATGTGTTTATAATACATACATATATATATCTGTGAGTGTGTTTGTATGTATTATACGAATGATTGAATTACAGTAATGTTGCCAATTAGGTTCAATGCTCTGTTATCTTTTTGTTATTTTTGAAGGAGTTTTGATTAAGTAATTTTTGCTGAGATTTGGTTCTTTGAATGGTGTTGTTCATATGGGAGTTCAAGACGGTTTATTTACAGTTTCCATTGGTTGAGATCAACCTAAAGGTCAGTGGATAAACTTGGGCTATAGACTATAGTGTTAGGCATGTTTTGAATTGGGGTTAAGAAATTCCAATAGGAGATTTGTGGGCTGACGATGTTTAGAAACTGTATTATTGCATGTTAATGTTATGAGGAATTTTCACTTACAATTAAGGAACACACACCCTATGTGAGAAATTTCTTGGAAAGTTCTATGCTTGGGTTCAAAAAAAAAAAAATCCACATTACCTTTCTCTCTCTTTCATTTCTGCAATCTTAAGATGATTAAATGTGCAACATTAGGGTATTCTTTTCAAATGGGTTTATCTATTTTCTTTCATAGACTTTGTTACAAACTGATTTGACTTTTGTCTCTTGAAGGTCTCAAGGAAAATTGATATGTTCCAATTTCTTTTATTTTTCACTGTCAATATCTATCTACATGTTCAATTTCTTAAATAGTTTACTTCCTTCATGTTCCTAAGTGACAAGGTCAATGATCTTACTTTATTGAATTTTAGATCCTCTTTCTTCATTAATTTACATCACCATCTAAAATCTTGCTTGTATTGACATTAATTGTAATTCTAGTAGGATCTAAGGCATGACATAAAAGAGAATAGTCATAATTGTAGTCTTTGGAGCTAATTTTAGCAGTCACTATCAATATGCCACATTTGTGAGAAGATATATTCATTACTATCATTAGATTAATTCTTTGTGGAACAAATTCAAGGTGTCTATTATTGTTGGCATGTAATGATAATTTGTTAATGAGTAAGATAAATACAATCTGACTAGCATAGAGCATAGCAGCACATTGGGGTTTAAGAATCCAAACAAGAGAATACCTTTCTCAAAAAATCTTAGAATTGTATATAGTCCATCATAGCAATCTATGGTAATATGTAACATTAGAAAGATATTTTCATTCTGTTTCCTACTATGTTGTGTCACCCAATTGTCCCAACTCAAGCTGATCAAAAAAAAATTAAAAAAAAATGTCCGAACTCAAGATGTCTCATTGTTGAAATGTGTGATTAGATTAGTTGGTCAAGTCCCAATAAGTTGGGTAGACTTGTTTCATAAAATCAAAAAACAATGTTATGTCAAGGCATTGTACTCTATTATGGATGTAACTTACCAAAGGTTGATCCCATGATCCATCATTACGAATTTCTATAATTTTTATCAGGTTACTCTAGGAATATGCCTGGATATAAAATATGTCAAGCATAATGAGTGAATAGCACATTTAGTATGTTTGTAATTAGCAACTCTCTGGCTTTAACGCAAAGAATGAACATATTCATGTTTGTACAACTCTGTAAAGTTAGGCTTGGCCACACATGCTACTGCAATTTTGGTCGAAGAAATTTCTAGTGAAACATGAACATTCATCAATAGCAACATGAACAATTTCACACCTAATGTCAAAGGCACAAGTAAAATAGTTCTTAGGCATCATTGATAATCTTTCTCACAGCATGGAACAAACACATCAATGCAAAGAATCATGTAGATCATCCATATTTTTATAGGGGCAATAAATACATACACATGTTGATAAGTTACAGAGGCCATAATTTTGAAGTTAATGGTTTTCGTTTGTTGGAGCTAAAGCCACCATTCAAAAAGCAAATTTTTAATTGATACAAGTGGTTACAAGTGAATTCACCCATAAAATTCCATCCTAAGCTACAAGAGACTAGACCACAGTGACATTCATTAGCAAAAGGACACAAAAAATGCAACGAAGAGATGAAAATTCTAGAACATGAAGAAGTGTAGCCTTAATATGTGAGAAGATTGTGGGCCACTAATTCATTCATTCATGAAGAAGTGCTTGTGAAAAAAAAAACTTGAAGATGTTGTTTAAACTCATGTTTATTATCTCTTTTAGAGGAAATGGAGCTAGTGTCCTTCGGATTGTTCCCTATGCAGCATTACATTTCATCATGAAATATGAGCAGTATCACATTTGGATCTTGAACAATTACTCTGCCTTGGGAACGGGCCCCATGATAGTACTTTTCTACTCTTTTTTCATTGATTTGGTTATTTAGTTTTTGTGGGTCTAAATTTAACATTCTTCTTTTGTTATATGATGGAAATTAGGAATGGTGAATGGGTTGATCATGTCACTTTGCAGGCTGCTGCAGATTCTGTATGGTTCTGCAACTTCATTTTTTCTTTTCTCTTCATTATTAATATAGGCTTGTTGGTATTTTTTGTGTACTATCACTGTGGATGGGGAGTGAGGATTGTGTAACGCGGCCCAATGGGCTGTCAACCATCAGATAATACAACTGCATACATAACTTTAGGAATTACCATGTTAAAGATTATTTTGTAGATCTCTGTTTAATCTGATTAATAGCATATTCTAGAATTATATTATGACATATGACTGGTAAAGCGTATGATGTTGGACATTTAATGTTACAGCTATCAGCTCTGTCTCAACTAGATTTGTTGGACTTGACCAAACATGAACTAACAAACTGTGTCCAAATTTTTTTTTTTTTTTGATCTATTGGTATCTGTTGTGCAACAGAATGTTGTTTGCCTGTTTAGTTAGTCTGTTTCGATATAGTTGAAGTCTATCTAGATATTTCATGTTATGTTACTATACATTACACAGTTTGCCATTTGCCAACTTGCTTTAACCCTTTGCTTCAAAATATTTTGCAATCAAACCATCTTGATCATGATTACTTAGCTGCCCACCACCACTAGCAAGTGCATGCATGGATTGTTGATGTTCCCTTTGATGTGTGATGGTGGGTATAAATATTATGTGTCTTGTGGGATCACAATTTCGAATTCTTATAGCTATTCAGAGTTTACCATAATGACAAGTAAGTTGCGTGTGTGTGTGTGTTTTTTTTTTGTTTTTTTTTGGGTGGTTTTGGACAGACGAAGTTATTTCAGAAAAATATATCTTGGAATATGGAATGGATTGTCTAGAGATGCATGTTGGAGCAGTTGAGCCTGATGAACGTGCTTTGGTGGTTGATGATTTGATTGCCACTGGTGGAACCCTCTGTGCAGCAATGAATTTACTGGGTACTCACTTCTAAATCATTTGTATTAGCTTTATGAGCCCCAGTAAAAGCACTGTCCTCTTTTTCTTTTTCCTATATTTTGAAAAATTTATGTGGAAAATGCTTTGGCTCATGGATATAAACAATTCCATATGTAGTGAGAAAATGAACCACCTATTTATTAGTCATTGAACACAGGGACCCAATGAAGGGTTACCTGGACAAGGGCTACAACTTGGGCTATTTGGATCTGGGTGAAGGCCAAATACTATGCCAACCTTTAAAAAAAAAAAAAAAGATTGAAGAGGCTGTTATCCAATTTACCTTGAGTCAAAGGTGTTCAGCGTCAATCATGTTGGTTAGGTTGTTTGGTTAGCCAAATAACAAAATTTACCATATGTTTGTTATAGACTTTCTCCTTCTTAATTCATCAAGCATTTTGCCCATTTAACAAAATGAATGTTTTGCTCCTATTTCTCAGGACTGAATTAATATGGAATTTGATGTTGCATACTTGTGTATTTTATTGATTGAGCATACCTCTTCAATTAAATTTTCGAAACCATATAGTATGCATTATGTATGCATGTGTAGCGACTGATACTGCCCTTGCTGCTGGAAATATATATATATCGTGCAAACCAGAATATATTGTGACTGATTTAATTTTTTTTGGTCAGAACGTGCAGGGGCTGAAGTTGTTGAATGCGCATGTGTAGTTGAATTACTAGATTTAAAGGTTTGTATGTAATGCACTCTTGGCCGCTTTCATTTCCTTAGCTATTAGTTAGTTCTTCTGTGGTTTGGTTCTTAAATATCATCAATTGATTGTGATTCCTGCTTCTATAATTACTTGTTTTTATTGAAACTGTGCTCTGCTTATATGCTACCACTATCTCAGTTCCTTGACATTTATCTGAATTGATCAATTGTCATCACTTTGGTAACAGTAACATTTTGGCCTTATGCATGTTTTACTGACTAAAATGTATAGTGAGATGAGATAGATGCAACAGGAAAGACTTCAGTGATTATTATAGTCTTACCAGTTCCTCTCACTTTAGTTGGTAGTACGGAAAACTAAATTTAATGAACTCGAGTTGACAGAAAGTTGACTGTGGTTTAGTCTGTATTATGAATTTTGCCCACAACTAGAAAAGACACTTCTTGTCTAAGTTGCATGCAAGGATGAAGTTTTGGCATGGTAATAGAGCCCATTGTAACAAGACTTGGTCCTTGAAATTCTATTTTTGGAAATTTATGGGACATTCCAGACAAATGCAATATTATGTCACATTCTATTATGGTCAAAGTGTACATCCCACAAGCTTCATATTTTTTCTTGTGTGTGTGTCAGGACTAGTCTTCCAAATAACTTTTTGAAAAGCTATATTTTCCTTTACATTAATATGCTACTGCTCATTTGTGTATTAAATCTATTCAAACTCATTATCATTATGTCATATTTATATATGGTAATACAAACATTTTATACTAGTAACAATCAAAGTTGTTATTCATTTTCTATTGATGCAGGGGATGAAGAGTCAATGTGATGAGAAAATGTTCGATTTTGTCTTTTGTAAGACAAGAACAGTCTCTACAAAAATAGTAAGTTTATTCATATCATTCTAGCGGTTTCTGAATTAATTTGTGTTTTTATTTTTCAGGTTAGAAATTTCTTGGAGACATGAAAACTATGGTCAAAGAATTCAAGAGCTTAGTTTTTTCAAGTTTTTTAATTTTTTAATATATGTAATCGCAGTTAAAAACTTTTTATTAATTCCTTTGTATATACTTTTGAACATTTAACTTTCATTTATGAAATATATGACGTTATTCCATTCAATATATGGTTGTGATTCAAAATATAGTATATAGTGTGTATTACATTCTACAAATGCACGTACAAAAATAATACTCCCTCCGTCCCAAAATATTAGTCCCTTATTCCATTTTTCATTGTCCCAAAATATTAGTCCCTCTTTATAAATCAAGTACAAAAATATTGTAAATTTCCTATTTTGCCCTTCTTTTAAATTAATAAACAATTTAAAAAGTACAATTATGACATTGATATTCCCAATAAATGTACTATCAAAAGGGCAATTTTGGAAAATCAACTTTTTTCAAATGTAATGAGTGTACTACCAAAAAAAGTTGGATTCCCCAAAAGGGACCAATATTTTGGGACGGAGGGAGTATTGATTATTCTTCAAATATGTCGAATTCTTTTTTTTTTTAATCATAGATTTTATTAGTTATTAATCACTCTTAAAAGATGTGATCTAAATGTTTTTCATCACACTTAAAAGATGTGATCTAAATGTTTTTAATCACACTTAAAAGATATGATCTATATATTATTAATCACACTTAAAAGATGTGATGAAATCATTTTTTAATGACACTTAAAAGGTGTGATTAAAAATGACCCCTTTTAATCACACTCCCAAAGATCACACTTCAATAAAACTTAAAAGGTGTGATTAAAAAACATACATCACACAAAAAAAGTGTGATCTTTATCTATATTTGTAGTAGTGTATGTTTCAATAATCTTTACTCTAATTTTTGGATATCTTTTGTTTTAATAATTTTTAATTTCTAGCAGGTTGACAATAGGTTTGTCCAATCTAACTGCTTTATTGATGTTTACAGTTTGTGATTGAAACAAACTCTAATTTTTTGATATCTTTTGTTTCAATAATCTTTAATTTCTAGCAGGTTTGTTAATTTCCAGCAGGTTTGACAACAGGTTTGTCCAATTTAATTGCTTTATTGATGTTTACAATTTGTGATTAGGTGTAATATTTGATCAGGTGTGTCCAATACATTGTGTCTAAAGCATTGTGTTTGCTTAATAGGTTCACATTAGGCAGCTTGAGGACTTCCTTAAGACCTTTCATATCGAAACATTGTGGTGAATATTTGATTTGTATTCTTACTTAAGCAATGATTGATCATTGTTATTTTGTGATTATTTCTTTGGTTGGTTGTGTTGGAAATTTATAAGTATGGTTTTTTAAAAAACAAAATCTTACAATTATCATTATTTGGGTTTATTAAAATCAAATTGGGGTGGGTAGGGTAGGGGGGAGCAAGAAAGAATGAATGATTTAAGAAATCAACTATAGTATATGTTTTGTTTTTTTTTTTAACATTTTGTCTTAGTTAAATCTAAACCACATTTCATTTTTCTATTTCAACGAATAGGCTCTTAACAGAATTATAGAATTCATGAGTTAAATTTTTAAATTCATTGATTTTTAAATTCATGAGTTAATTGGTTTGCATATGTAGTATCATACTGTTCAAGCTTTAATTAATCTCATTAGCAAAAGCCTTTGTATTTTCTTAGAATTCTCTGATTCAAATTATTATTTACTAAATTTGATATTTTAAATTGAAGTGAGTCATAATTGATAGATTTTATTGCGAGAGACAATAAATTTAAATTTGACAAAAATGGGTTAGAGAGAGATGAAATGTGATGAACCATTATGTGATACAGAGAAGTTAGTTTCTAATTGTTGAACCACTTGACGAGGCCTTTTTTTTTAGAGAAAGAAATAGAGCTTTAATTTCTATGTTATTTAATTTGTATATAAATATTCACTCAATATGTTATCTTGCCATGTATAGGACACAACAATGTTCACTAAGTTTAATTTACTATTCACTCAGTTTGTTATCCTTTCTATTGTTATGCTTTTCTTAATGCTGACATTGATACATGTTTAGGAATGTAGGGTTAGGTGTAATCTGAGTTACGCCATGGAGTACAAGATTTGTCATGTCATCAAAAAATAAGAAATTTTTTTTACCAAATTTGTCATGCTCATCAGTTGAGGCATGGACTACTAGATTTGTTCTTGTCTGTGGGAGAGTTTTTTTTTTTTTTTTTTTTTTCCTGCATGTGATTTGATGCTCATGAATTTTCTTTGTTATGTTTCTTTTTTTACTTTTTATTTTTATATTTTGTCTTAGTTAAATCTAAACCACATTTCATTTTTCTATTTCAACGAATAGGCTCTTAACAAAATAATTAATGAGTTAATTGGTTTGAATTTGTAGTATCATACTGTTTAAGCTTTGATTAATCTCATTAGCAAAAGTCTTTATATTTTCTTGGAATTGTCTAATTGGTTGTTGAGAGTTTCACTAGTTTAACTGGATATCTTTATGTATTCAAATTCAAATTATTATTTACTAAATTTGATATTTTAAATTGAAGTGGGTAATAATTGATAGGTTTTATTACGTGAGACAATAAATTTGACGAAAATGGGTTAGACAGAGATGAGAATTGATGAACCATTATGAGATACAGAGAGGTTAGTTTCTAATTGTTGAACCATTTGATGAGACCTTTTTTTTAGAGAAAGAAATAGAGCTTTAATTTGTATATAAATATTCACTCAGTATGTTATCCTGCCATGTATAGGACACAAAACAATATTCACTCAATTTAATTTAATATTCACTTAGTTTGTTATCCTGCCTATTAAGTTGATTTTTGGATTCTATGATTTTGTCAAAGATCATTTATTCCACTTAGTAACCCAATAGATGCCGAGTGGGTGGATCAAGCGCTACTAGGAGCACATCCTCCTTATTGCTTCTTTGCTAGGAGGAAATGTAGCATCACCCGTAAACTGAGACAACTCTTCTTATAAGTTGGTTAATGTTTTAAACTTGGTCTCTAAACATAATGATAGTCTCTTTGTTCTTGGTGCTGTTTATTCTAATTTTATATTTCTATTACGCTTTTAATATATTAGTCTTCGCAGGACATAGCACTAGAACAATATTTTCTAATTTTATATTTCTATTATGGTTTCAACATTATGGTTTCAGGACATAGCATTAGAATAATCAAGCCTAGCCTCATAATTAAATGATGTTGCCAATGAGTTTAGTGGCAGAACCAATATTTTGGCTTGGGGGCAACATTAAGAAAAAACCTAAGTTTATATTGCCAATGGGTAGAGTGGCAGAAATAATATTTTGACTTGACAAAGTTTTGCCCAGTTTCACAGGTTTATTACTCACTCAATTGTGTAGTTATGAATTATAATTAAAAAAATCACATATCTATCTTTACGGTTAATTTTACATTTGATCAATTAACTGGTTTAAGGATTCCTAGTGGCAAAAAATATATTAGGGGAACTGCGTACGTATCAATTTGCTCACTAATTGATAGTTGTAAAGAGCATGCATTTATTTATTCTCTCTCTCAAATTGGTCCCTCTATAAAACATGTATTGGTACCATTTCGTCAACAAAAATAATTTTGCTTACGTATGTAAGGTTGTGTTTGAATCATAATAACTTTATATTTCCCTCATTTTTTTTTCCTTTTTAAATTCCTATCTAAATTTAAAATGATGTTCTCGAAGGGAAATATAGTGAGGGTGGTGGTTGTGCAATACGGTTTACGTCTAGATCAATTTAGTTTGCGGTTGATATTCAATTTCTATGGTCACTAGCATAAGGCACGAAGTAACCTCATCTTCATGTTATTTTTTTCTTCCAGAATGCAGCTTCTCTGTTTGATACTCAGTGTATAATTGGAGCAATTATTATGTTTTTCTCACATAAATACATTTTTTAGGTCTTGAGTACTATTTTATTTGATAAATTGTTCATATTTTACTCTTTCATGATAACGAAACTGCATTGAGTTTTTATCTTACGCGCATTATTTTGGATAATATAAACATCTTAAAATTAGATTGATCATGACTATGAAAAAACTTCAATCCAAATTTAAGCACCTTAAGCTTCAATTCAAAGAGCTACTTTTGTTTGAAGTATATTAGTTGGTCTACTTTTGAAAATGCATTTTCATGGCATTGGCATGTCATGGGTGAGAGAAAACTTAAACAAAAAGCGGAGAAAGGGTTTGGTTGTGCAATGAGGTTGTGGGATGTTGGGAAATGAAGGTATAGGGAGAAAAAAAAGTGCAACCAAATGAATAAAATAGTGAGGGAAAGATATGGAGGATACGACAACGAGAAATGGTCTGCAATTAAATTAATGGATTTGATTTAGTTTAAAAGAGGAGATATAAGTTAAAAATGATTACAAATGTACGTTGGCAAAAATATCAATATGAACTGGATAGTTAATATTTATGCTACATGCTAAATTTTATGTTCAGAAATTTTTTTATTGGTTGGAAATTAATTATATTTGCTGGATCAATTTTTTTAAATGTTCTATCAAGTGTTTTGAGGCTAAAAGTTGAACTTCTGAAATCATGTTTAAGAGTTAAGATTTAATGTGGTTAGAACCTAAAACTGAACTTCTTATTTTTGCAATTGTTATAAATAGTTGTATATACATACATATCCAAACCCCTTTCACTCTCTCACATCTGCATACACTTCCCCTTCCCACAAGCTCTTGATCCAAAGCCCTTTATAATGGCTTCTTTGTTGATGCAATAAAGGTTGTTATTGCGTAAGAATACTTTTGATGGTTGATTTCAAAGTGGGTTATATATTTCGACAGGCCACAAAACAAAAATGAAAATCCACTTATCTATATAATAAACCATGTAACGCCCTCAAAATAATAACAATAAACCCATCAGATAAGACATGAATTTACATTTAAACTAACCGCATTCCTTTCATTCATTAGAATTCCAAGACATAAGTATTACATGTTTAACCTCATAACAAA